TTTTAGGGTTCAGGGTTCAGGTTTTTGGGTTTAGGTTTTAGGGTTTAGGGTTCAGGGTTTTGGGTTTAGGTTTTAGGGTTCAGGGTTCAGGGTTTTGGGTTTAGGGTTTAGGTTTTAGGGTTTAGGGTTTAAGGGCGACCAGCAACATACTTCAAAACACTACGCTGCGAGCTTGAATACTAAGCTCTGCGGGGAAAGCCAGGCCACATTGAACGGATCAAGGCGGATATGAGCGCCGCCCTGCAGGCCATCCATACCTTGAACATGGTTCATGCGGACATCATGATCCGCATCTCTCAACCCTAAACCCTAAACCCTAAACCCTAAACCCTAAACCCTAAACCCTAAACCCTAGATATGGGGGCGGCTCCGCGGGCGAAAGCATCTATCCGCTATGGGCTGTGGAGCTCCAGTCCGTGGAGGCGACTTACACCGCCCGCCGCACGAGCTTACGAGCAGCCCCACGGTGAAGGGCGATTACTACCGCCTTGCCGTGACGATTAGGGTTTAGGGTTTAGGGTTTAGGGTTTAGGGTTTAGGGTTTAGGGATCCATAGGCCCCATAGTAGTTCCTTTTTGGGATTACCATACAGGATTCTATATATGAACCCCCAAAAAGGAACTACTTTAGGGCCTATGGGTACCGCCTTGCCGTGACGATTCGAGCAGGGCCTCTGGCTTCGTGGCGCCCCAAACAATCCAACTTCTGGAAGAACACCAAAGCCTTAAACCCTATAAGCCCTAAACTAGGCCCTATGTATAGTCTCCATTGTAGTTCCTTTTGGGATTCCCTTATAGGATCCTAAATATAAAGTTGGTTTAACCCAAAGCCCTAAACCTGAAACCCTAAACCCTGAACTCCCAAACTCAACTCCGCGTTGTGCAAGGAAACCTGTACCCCGACAATCAAGGCATTTGAGTCTCATGAAGAGCCCTAAACCCCTAAACCCCTAAACATGAATCCCTGAACCATACACCCTACAAACCCCAAACGCTAAACCCTAAAGCCCTGAAACGCAACGGCCCAAAGCGACTGCCAGGAGGCGCGAGTACACATCTGCCTCCGGAGGTCTCGCCGCGTGCGGGGCTCGCTTTCGATTGTCTCGCAGCGAGGGTGCACTTTGCTGGGGGTCAGGGTTAGTGCTTTAGGGTTTAG